AAAGCAGATGTGTGAGTCTGGAAACCTCCTGTTTCAGCGCTTGAATGGGCAACCAGCAAATGTAGAACACTCACTGTAGAATACTTAATGAGCAGCCATGGTCATGAATAGATACAACACAAGAGCATCCCAACAGACAGTCCGTTCATGATGCTGTAACAAAATACTACAAGCTGGATCATATATTAGTATAATAGTAGATATTTATTTTTCACAGTTCTAGAGGTGGGATGTTCTAAGGTTCTGGTTCTTAGAGATTTGGTGTCTGGTGAGAGCTTGCTCTCAGTTTACAAGCAAGCACCTTCTTGCTGCATCCTCATTCAGAGCACAGGTCCGCTGTAAGGATGGAGGAGCAATGCCACCTGACATTACAGAAGGGAATAGAAAGAGATGTTCCTGCAGCCTGTTATTCTACACACACACACACACATCACGCATGTGCACACGCACACACTTACTTGAGACTGGTCTATATAATAACCCTGGATGTCCTAGAACTCTTTATGTAAACAAGGCTAGTCTTGTTGTTGTTTTTGTTTGTTTGTTTTAGTTTTTCGAGACAGGGTTTCTCTATAGCTCTGGCTGTCCTGGAACTCACTCTGTAGACCAGGCTGTCTTCGAACTCAGAAATCCTCCTGACTCTGCCTCCCAAGTGCTAGGATTAAGAACGTGTGCCACCATTCTCCAGCTCAAGACTGGTCTTAAAGTCACAGAGATCTACTGGCCTCTGCCTCCTGCTAGGATTAAAGGTGTGTTCTAGTTGGCTGTGGTGGTGCAAGTCTTTAGTCCAAGGACTCAGGGGACAGAGGTAGGCATATCTTGAGTTGGAGACCAGCCTGGTCTACAGAGCAAGTTCTAGGATGGCTAGAGGGTTACACAGAGAAACCCTGTCTCAAACACATACACACAAGGAGTGTACCACCACCGTGCCTCTGTGTGTGTGTGTTCCTCTTTTAAACAGCATCATTCCATCCAAGAAAATGGATCACTTTGAAAAGTGACGTAATCCCTCCTAGGAATCTATACCATTTACTGATATCCCTGTTGGTTTCAGTTTCAAAAAGTGAACTTTAGAGAAATAGATGCATTACAAATATTATCAAACAGTATATGTAAATTCTCAGTAAGATTCCCCCATTAAACATTGGCCTATTGGTATCACAGGCAAGAAATGTAATGATTAATCTTGATTGTCAACTATTGGATTGAGAATTACCTAGGAGAGTAGAAAATGGGGTCTTACCTAATAAGCTGATAGATTGCTTGATAGGGTCATAAAGTTATAGCGTTATTAAGAGGTACAAAGATGAAATAGGGGAGGGTGGTTAAGAGCACCAACCACTGTTCCAGAGCTCCTAAATTCAATTCCCAGCAACCACATGGTGGCTCACAACCATCTGTAATAGGATCTGACGTCCTCTTCTTGTGTGTCTGAAGACAGCTACAGAACTCATATACATAAAGTAAATAAATAAATCTTTAAAAAGATGAGATTGGGGTGCTGTCAGGATGTAGGTGGTTGGGATGTATCCTTACTAGCTATATACTACTTTGGCCAATTCCTGTATATATGTATTCTCTCTCTCTCTCTCTCTCTCTCTCTCTCTCTCTCTCTCTCTCTCTCTCTTCCTCCCTCCCCGTGCGTGTGAGTGTGTGTGTGTGCGCGCGCGTGCATGCACTATATTCTCTTGAACAGACACTCACTCTTTCACTCTGCTCTCCAGTTTGCTCTGGCCCTCCCTCTCCTTCCCAGTTGCTACAGGAGACGGATGCCTCTGAAATCATGAGCTCAGATAAATCCTTCCTCCTTCATGCTGTTTATGTCTGATGTTTAACAAGGAAAGAAACTGCAGAGAGCATGGCCGTTGGGCCGTGACACACTCAGCTATTAGGATGTACACCGATTTGCCTTTCAAAGATGCTTAGTTTATTCACACAAGCATTCCTTATAATGCCATGCTAATATAAGGGTTATGGTAATCTTATGTAAGCAATCATCTCACCAAGAAAGGATAAAATCAACGTTTAATATAAATGTAAACTGTAAATTAATCTGGTGGCTGCATTTCTTTATCTTTTCTAATCCCCAATAACCACACAGGGAAACAAAGACTTATTCCAAGCTGCATCTCAATACCTGGGCAGTTCACTGATCTTCCTTAACTCTCTATGCTAATATAGCAACCTCCCATTTCATACTCCCAATATATACAATGAGGACTTCCATTGTCCAGGTAAACTCTTAAGAACTTTTTCTTCCTCCCCATGGCTGATCTGCCTGCAGACCCTTTCCTCATGGTTCCAACTCCAACCTTCCCCCCCCACCTCCTGACTGGCAGAAGTTTCTGCCCCTATTTTCTCTTCTGCCCAGCCATTGGGCAATCAGCTTTTATTAACAAGGCAGAAAATAAATGGTAAAAACTGTTTACACAAACTTGAGACAGGAGATTTTTGACCTAAGCATTACAACGATGTGTCCAGACTGAAACAAGATATGAGGGCAGAGAAATCGGCATTTGAACAACACAAAGATAAGCTTTACAGAGTGCATAAAAACGTTATGTCTACAAGAGAGGAACAGTTGGATGAGCAGAAAATTGCTACAAGGTTGCCCTGGCTTGAACACTTCCAGAGCTGGTCAGCTCCATCCGTGTGTGCACTGAAGTCCTGCAGCTGTGGCAGGCTTGAGTTTGGCACGGTTGGAAATCCCACAAGATCCTCGAGAGCAGCAGCCAGCTCCTAGTACTGATAGGCTGGCCTCTGTAGGAAGCCCAGGAAGCCACACCAAGGCCAGTCTCAAAGTCCTTTTGTCGATGAAAAACTGAGCAGAGGCTTGAGATACAATGTCTCTGGAGCACAGCAGTGCAATCCCTAGGGGCCACTGCCTAGTTTGAGTTCTTAAACTCTTGGTGTGTTTCAGTGCATGGTTCAACAGGCTCACCATGTGGTTAGCTTTGGGGTATTTTGCACATTTTCACCTAAATATTTTTCTGTTTCGTTCAGTCCAAAACATGTTGGGTTGTTCATGGTGCAAATATTTGTCTCCTGTTACAACAATAGCATTCCTTAAGTCAAAACAAGTTTGTATTTATTTTGTCAAAACAAATTCTTAGCTCAAAACATGTCATGTTCTTAACATAGTTTCTAGGTTACACAAAAACACGTATGTTCCTGTCACTCACTAATGCAACGAATAAGAAAGTAACCAGTCTTGAGGCTGAAGAGATGGTTCAGCATTGGGAGGCTTGCTGGTTATGGTTTCGCTGCTGTGAACAGACACCATGACCAAGGCAACTCTTATAAAGACAACATTTAATTGGGGCTGGCTTACACATTCTGAGGTTTAGTCCATTATCATCAAGGCGAGAACATGACAGCATCCAGACAGGCATGGTGCAGGTAGAACTGAGAGTTCTACATCTTCATCTGAAGGCTACTAGCAGAATATTGGCTTCCAGGCAGCTAGGATGAGGGTCTTAAAGCCCAAGCCCACAGCAACACACCTAATCCAACAGGGCCTCACCATCTAATAGTGCCGCTCCCTGGGCAGAGCATATACAAACCATCACAAGTCTGCATTGCTCTTCTTGAGGACATGAGCTGAGTTCTGTGGTAGTTTGAACAAGAATGGCCCTCATAGGCTCATTGAACTCTTTGGGAAGGATTAGGAGGTGTGGCCTTATTGAAGGAGGTATCTCACTGGGGTAGGCATTAGGGTTTCAAACCCATGCTGGGACCAGCCTCTCTCTCTGATTGAAACTTGGTCATGGTGTTTCATCACACCAATAGACGTGTAACTAAGACAGGTTCCTAACACCCACACCAGGTGGCTCACAACCATCTGTAACTCCAACTTTGTGGGATCCAAAATCTCTTCTGACCTCTGAGGGTACCTGCACCCATGCGTATAAACAGGTACACACATACACATAATTTAAAACAAAATCTTAAAAGTAAGGAAAGTGACTAATTTCTGCCCATGTAGAGATCTTTCAGCAGTGTTGAAGTCATAGAAAGAAAGCATGTTTTACTTGACATTTGTAACTTTATAGCTCTGTCTTGTCCATTTAAATAGTGCAGGAAGTAATTTTCAGCATTTAGATTGTTTTTTAAAATTAAGCTGAAGAATAGAAGGCTTGTTTAACAAATGTCTGATGTTATGGAAAAAGTACATTTATAGAGACTTTCTCAAAGTCAACTCACCTGATTCTGGAGAAGGACAAGAATCTTTCAGGCCCACTGTCAACTGTTCTGTTTGTTGAATTTAAGGCTTTTGTTTCATTTGAAGCCATATTTCTGTCTTAGAAGTATTTGAAAACTGCTGTAAAAGATCCCCAAGTGCCTCCTCACCTGTTCTGAAAACCACAAAGACAGAAAATGATCTCAAACTGTGGCAAATGGAATTAAGTTATCCAAAAAAAAATGCAGAATATATCCAAGAAAGTTATTATCGCCAACGCGAACCATATGATTTTCTTCTCTCCAGAGTTTTAGAATTGAACAGATTCTTTTCTAAATGCACTCAAAGTTCCACATGAGAAAATCTTACTGCAGCAATCACAACAATACAGAAGTGTAGACAAGGCAGGAATAATATTTTCTCATCTGTCAGAAAATAATGGGGTCAGAAGAGGTTTCTTCTGGTGACTCAGTTCTGATATCAACACTGGAAAGTTACCTGAGAGGTAGGTCTTGCTTGTAGAGTTGGCCCATTAGCTAGGAAATCTAGAAGTGAGATAGCTCTGTGTGTGTTTCAAAGCATAATTATCAAGGAATGATGGGAAAGGAATTAGGTTGTGATAGGCCAACAAGGGTTTATTTCAAGAGCAGCCAAAAACTAGATAAGAATGAAGATAATATGTTGGACTCTAAAACAGGTCAGCAATGAAAAGGTGACTCACTGTGGGTCTGCCCTCGGGGTTCTAAGGAAAGAAAAAAGTGTGTTTACTCATTTACTTTCAACTGTCTTCAATATGCTGTCCTTGCTGTATTTCCTTCAGACCAGATCTGGTTCCTCATCCCTGAATCATCCTCTTCAAAATTATAAGATATGGAAGATGAAGATAAGACAGTTGAATGTCAGTGTTCAAAGACACCCATGGGGACCACTCACCCAGCTTCTCTGCATCATGAACAACAGGTAAAATCTCCAGTCAAAGGCAGGAGGTCCCAGCAGTTTCCTTAAGCACATGACTATGGTTTCCAAACAGAGAGAATCATTTCTCCTCACTCTTTACCAGTTGACTAACAGTTCTCCTGGAAGGGCCAGGTGACACACTCTTGAAATACAAGCACTCAGAAGAGGGATGCACCCTGGCTCCAAAAAAGGAAAGAAAAATCCTCCTCATGCTTAACTCCCATCTTCATATAGGTCAGGGTAGATAATGTAATTTTGTAGGCTCTTGGCCAACCTGAGGTAGGGCCAGCCATCGATTACCTTAGCTATCAACTGGTAGACATTATGCTTTGTGTTCTTGGCCTAAGCCCTAGTTCAATGGTTCTCAACCTTCCTAATGCCCTTTAATACAGTTCCTCATGCTGTGGTGACCTCCCAACTAGTAAATTATTTTTGTTGCTATGTCATAGCTGTAATTTTACTGCTGTAATGAATTGTAATGTAAATGTCTATGTTTTCTGATGGTATTACATGACCCTTGTGAAAAGGTTTTCAACCCACAAAGGCTCGTGACCCACAGATTGAGAAGTTTTTATACTATTTTGTGAGCTTGCCTCCCTTGCTTTTTTTCTGTCCCTTCTCCTCTTTCTTAAATCACTTTGATACGTTTACTTGCTGTCATCTTGAATTATGTCTTAACTGTACCAATTTTGGGGCCTGGTATTGAACTATGTAACTTTATGTTTATGTGATACAAGTACTTAAAAATGTAAACACAGGGACTTATTGTTAAATATCCTTTAATGGTTCTTCTTCTAAGTACTAGGTGACTTGTTAGTAATAAAGTTGTGTGTTGTTTATAAGTTATTATCCTTGATTCTAATAAAGGCAGTTTGATTTGATATTTGATTTAATATATGAGAAGCCAATAGCAAAAAGACGTGTGAAAATAAAGTTTTAAAGATTTAAAATTTTGGCCGGGCAGTGGTGGCGCACGCCTTGAATCCCAGCACTTGGGAGGCAGAGGCAGGCGGATTTCTGAGTTTGAGGCCAGCCTGGTCTACAGAGTGAGTTCCAGGACAGCCAGGGCTACACAGAGAAACCCTGTCTCGAAAAATCAAAAAAATAAAAATAAAAAAAAGATTTAAAATTTTGTTTTAAATACAGGAAGAGCGAGTCGTGAACCTCAAGGGTGCAGATGGAAATGAGCCGACAGAAGACAGTAACCTGTTGAACAGCGGTGAAAAAAAGCCTCAGGACTCACCAACGGAACCCAGAAGCCAGCAGAGACTGAGGCAATTCCTAGCCTGCCCTCCACGCGGCTGGCTGGCAAGAGTGGTAACTAATGGTGTGTGTACGGTGGGGATGAACTCAGAAAACCAGCAGAGATGACGCCACAGTGAGAGTTTCCAGAGCCGTATGGTTAAAAGGACAACAAGAACGTTACTTTTCTTAAGTCAGCTGACCTGGTTGTGGCTCTGCTTCACGCAATCACTCGGGGCGGGGGAGTAAAAAGTTCCCCCTCTCAAACTGTGGCTTCAGAGCTGTCTGTGGCCACATTTGAGCCAGTACTTTCTTGAGTCAAAAGAGCAGAGATGAGAGAACTTCTGTATCTGGATAATTTCACACAATCACTCTAAGTAAGGCTCCAGTAAGCACACTGTTGGCAAATGTCTCCTTACAGAGAACCATTATGTAAATGTTGACATCATTAGAGAACAGACTGTTGCTGAGCAAGAGTCTTGCTTTGCAAATCACCCATTTCTTTGTAGACTTAGAGGATTTGCGGGGAGGGAGAAGGATTTGTGGGGAGGGAGAAGGATTTATCCTTTTTTTTTTTTTTGGATATTGTTTCAGTTTAGATATATTTATCTCTTAGTTCATGGCAGTAGGTGAGAAATTTGGTGACTGTACAGATGTTCAAAATCAGTGATACAACTTTTTGTTCACAAAGGAAGAGAGTGTGTGTACGCTTGTGTGTGGTCATGAACGCTGCTCGCATAGTGGAGGTTAGCTGTGCAATCATGCAAGAATCTGTAAGGTAGATTTTTAGCCAATCTTGGAAACCGTTGAGAATGAGAACATGATTTCAGTTATACTTACAGCTTTCTATCTCTCTTTTCCTGAAAACCAAGGCTCAATCTCAATGCCCAGTCCTCAACACCTTGATTTGTGTGTGTCTGGGTTTTTTGCTTTGTTTCAACAAAGGCAGTCTCTGAGGCTCAAGACTCATGGTCCTCCTGCCTCAGTCTCTCCAATGCTGGCATTACAGGGCCTGCACCACCCACACAGCCTGAGCTGAGTCTTTTTAGAGCTGGACTTCAGAAGGGAGCTCTCACAGAAGTTTTCCTCATTATCATCCAGGTCAATGAAAACAAATATAATATGTTCTACCTTAGGTGGTGTATGTTTTTGTTGGGAAAGTAAGATTCTGAATCAGTGTGGGAAAAAATTTTAAACTAGGTTCCAGTATATGAACTAGGTGAGAGGCCACACATCATTCGATACCTTTTCTTGCCTTTATATTATTTTTTTAACTTTTACCACTGAAAATATGACACATAGCTAGCTAGTTAAAACATTTACAATAAAAACAGATACCTATTGCCCAAGGAATGTGTCAAAATGGATAGTGTGATTCGAGGTCTCATTTTTATTTTTATCTTTTTTTTAAAAAGCATTTTGTGGCACCGTATGCTTCTGTGTGTGCATGTATGTATGTTCCATGTGTGTGGGTGCATGTGTGTGTTCACACACTAGTGTGCATGTGTGTGTGGTGCCAGAGGTTGATGTTAAGTCTTCTCCCATCATGCTCTACATATTGAGGCTGGGTACCACACTCCTTGCATGCCTTGGGTCACAGAACCCTGCCCGGAATTAACCTCACTGGAGAGGCAAGAGAATGGAAAGCTAGAGTTGGGTGGCCTGGGCTCTCTGATGGAGAAGCTGTGGCACCTGGGAGGTGTGGCCTGTTTATTATGTACAGCTGCACATGGAAGAGGGTTTATTACATACAGATACACAGGAAGTCAGGGATATTACATACAGCTGAACGAGGAGACAGGCTTACCTAACCTCAGTGGGAACAGTCTCTAGGGAAGAAGTCTTCAGGCTGTGAATATCCATGGGAAAAAGCCATACTGTCAGCATTTGCATGTGGATGGGAAGAAGGCTTTACCGTCCCTCTGAACCTCACTTGGGAAAGGTTTTGCAACTTCATGGGGCTGAGGCATTGGTCTATGATATGTCTGTGCCCCTAACAATAACACACACTCTGAATTTCACTGAGTCACTGATTCATTCGCTTGGTCTAGCTAGCCAGCTTGCTCTGGGATCCCATCTATGTCCTGAGCACTGGGGCTGCAGGTAGATTGTTCATATTGGTTTCAGCACTTACCCACTGAGCTAGCTCAACAGCCCGAGAACTCATTTTAAAATATAGAGTTCTTCAGAGTGTTCCTGAACATGAAAGCCCCTGGTAGGTAAGCATGTGCTCACTGTTTTCCTCTGGTTCTACTTCTGAGGCTGATGGCTTTGTTCTGTGTTCACTCCTGCATCTTTTAACATATACAGACTCCTCTTAAGAAGCAATTGTTACATGAAAGTTATGTTTTTCCAAAGTCATAAATGATGAATCAATAATTAGCTGATTTCAACCTGATCTAGGGTTTTCAATATACACATAAATATCACTTACAATTGTTTGTCAGGTATGGGGAATGAAAGGAGAGAGACTCTTTCAAAGTGATCTTAGCCTGGAAAAAAGGAAAACTCTTTAAGTCTGTCTGATTGTGGGATTATTAAAAAGTTTAGCAAATGCTTTAATAAGGTTGTACTTACCAGCTGGAAAGCTGCACCTTCCATTCTGCCTGTAAGATTTTTTGGAACTCTTAGCTTGTATACTCTCTATTGGAAAATACTGAAAATGCCTTAGACATCTCATTGTAATGGTGGCTTGCATCTCTGGGGAAAGTGTTTTTAAGTTTTTTAGAAAAGGAGGCATAGGGTTTGGTCGCTGTGTTATTTAAATTTCTCATTTTGTGATAACACAGCAGTGGACAATGTTTTTTTAATTTTTTTAAGTGTGATAATTCTAAGCAAACATTGACTGTAAAAGAAGTGATGGTTAATGTTTAATTCAAGGAAGAGCAAAGCACTGGAGTGTAACTAGAATTCAAATATTCTCAGATTTCTACTAAGAGGACATAGACAGTGATTGTTCTCTGTAAGACTAACTGTTCCTGGATTGCAAGATGGTGGTTCCTTCTGGCATTCTGAAGGGAAATGGGGGTGAGGTGTATTCAAGGTGCTGTTTATTCTCTGGTTCTCATCCCACCTTAACCCCAGACAAGGTTTTTCTGTGTAACATCCCTGGCCGTATTGGAACCAGGCTGGCTTCAAACTCACTGAGTTCTGCTTACTCTGCCTCCGGAATGCTATGATTAAAGGCATGTGCCACCACGGCTGACCTGATTCCCTGGTTCTTAACCTGGTAATCACCTCCTCGTTCATATTCCTTATGTCCTTTACAACTTTTGATTATAAACATTTGCATATGGATTTAATGTTTATTTTAAAATAATTTCAGAATACATCAAAGCTTACACATAAAACGTAGTTTTCCTGGTGTTTTGGCTTTTGTTTTTGTTTGTTTGTTCATTTATTCTTACTCCTTTTGTTGGTTGTGTGTTTTAGGTACCATGGTTGTCCTTCTCTGGGCTGTGGTTTGGTCAGTTACCGGCCCCGAATGTCTTCCTGGAGGAAATCTGTTTGGAATTATAATCCTCTTCTATTGTTCCATCACTGGAGGTAAACTTTTTGGACTCATTAAGTTTCCAACATTGCCTCCTCTGCCTCCTCTTCTTGGTAAGTGTCAAATGCTTCCTGATTTCCTCAAAGCAAATGATAGTTTTAAAAACTGTTCTGGTAAGGTGTGGGAAATATAGGAATGAAATATTTCAGTATTTGCTGTCCTGCAGATGAAGGGAACTTTTTGTTGTGTTTTGTTTTGTTGAGTCTTTTGAGATAGGGTTGCTCTGTGTTGCCCTGGATGTCCTGGAACTTGCTCTGTAGACCAGGCTAGCCTCAAACTCACAGAGATGCACCTGCCTCTGTCTTCCATGTGATTAAAGGCATGGAGCACAACTGCCCGGCTTGTTTGTGTTTTTATATAGTATCCTAACTTTAGTGAAAGTGTTTATCAGTGTGAAATGTGGTACTTACGGGGGCATAGCATGAACAGGTATGGAGAATAGAGACCTCAGGGTCCCTGACAGAGGGATCTCTCCCTTCATATGTACTTGTGACCTAAACGTGGGCAGAACTCCCTTACAAGGACCCAGCAGGTTTAGTTACACCGAATTATCCATAGCTAGGATGTGAAACTTCTCATGTCTTCTAAGTAACCACTTTCTGTCCCAGAAACATTACACTTGCCTAAGCCCTTTACCCCCTCCCCTCAGGACTCCTTGTAATACCTGTCTTTTCTGTTCCATCAGTTGGGGTTGTTAGTCTTGTTCCTCTGGAGACTGAAAGCTTGTTGTTCTATTACAGTTCCTAACATTTGTCCATTATATAAACAGAAGTTACAGTCATCTACAACTGATTTCATGTCCCTCATCTTATATAAAATAATGAAGTCAGTCAGTAAATGGTGAACAGTAAAACAGGAAGAGGCACCCTGTCAGACATGGCAGGGTCATGGCATGGTCTGTTTACCATGGTTGTCTTCTAAACCTTTACAAAGTATGTTACATGTATCTTACTAAATTGTCTTCCGTGAAGGTAGATAACAGAATCCATGTAAGTAGTTATTGTTATTGATGGCTCAGGGAATCTGACATTGCAAATAACTCTAGGAGCTGTTTATACTCAGGGACCAATTGAACTGAGATTGGATTAAAGCATCTCATTGAGGATTTGATCATCATTCCTTCTAAATGCTAAACTCTGTATGTCTCCTCTATCTTCAGTTATCCAGACAATATTAATTATTCTAATCATTTTATACATAAAGTATTTCATTGATCCTTTTAGTATATGTGTTTTAATAACAAATTTAACTTCATTTCATCCAAAGACTAAGTAAGCATAAGGAAAAACTACACTGTAGTCTCTGTCACATGTAAAGTGCTAAAAAGAAAAAAACAACCTCCCGTCACATAATAATCAAAACATCAGATGCACAAAACAAAGAAAAAATACTAAAAGCAGTAAGGGAAAAAGGTCAAGTAACATATAAAGGCAGACCTATAAGAATTACACCAGACTTCTCATCAGAGACTATAAAAGCCAGAAGAGCCTGGACGGACATCATACAGACCCTAAGAGAACACAATTGCCAGCCCAGATTACTATACCCAGCAAAACTCTCAATCACTATAGATGGTGAAACCAAGATATTCCATGACAAAACCAAATTTGCACAATATCTTCCCAAAAACCCAGCACTTCAAAGGATAATGGATGGAAAACGCCAACACAAGGAGGGAAACTACAACCTAGAAAAAGCAAGGAAGTAATCTTCCAACAACCCCAAAAGAAGATAACTATACAAACATAACTTTACCTCTAATAGCAAAAATAACAGGAAGCCACAATCATTTTTCCTTAATATCTCTTAACATCAATGGTCTCAATTCCCCAATAAAAAGACGCAGACTATCAGACTGGATACACAAACAAGACCCAGAATTTTGCTGCATACAAGAAACGCACCTCAGTGACAAAGACAGACACTACCTCAGAATAAAAGGGTGGAAAACAATTTTCCAAGCCAATGGTCCCAAGAAACAAGCTGGAGTAGCCATTCTAATATCAAATAAAATTGACTTTCATCCAAATTAATCAAAAAAGATAAGGAAGGACACTTCATACTCATCAAAGGAAAAATCTACCAAGGTGAACTCTCAATTCTGAACATCTATGCCCCAAATGCAAGGGCACCTACATACATAAAAGAAACTTTACTAAAGCTCAAAACACACATTACACCTCATACAATAATAGTGGGGGATTTCAACACCCCACTCTCAGCAATGGACAGGTCATGGAAACAGAAACTAAACCGAGACACTTTGACATTAACAGAAGTTATGAACCAAATGGACTTAACAGACATCTATAGAACATTTCATCCTCAAACAAGAGAATATACCTTTTTCTCAGCACCTCATGGTACCTTCTCCAAAATAGACCATATAATTGGTCACAAAGCAGGCCTCTACAGATACAAAAAGATTGAAATAATCCCTTGCATCTTATCAGATCACCACAGAATAAGACTGGTCTTTAATAATGACAAAACCAATGGAAAACCCACATGCACATGGAAACTGAACAACTCTCTACTCAATGATGACTTGCTCAAGGAAGAAATAAAGAAAGAAATTAAAGACTTTTTAGAATTCAATGAAAATGAGGACACATCATACCAAAACTTGTGGGACTCCATGAAGGCAGTGCCAAGAGGAAAACTCATAGCTCTAAGTGCCTACAAAAAGAAACTGGAAAGAGCACACACTAACAAGTCGACTGCACAACTAAAAGCTCTAGAACAAAAAGAAGCAAATACACCCAGGAGGAGTAGAAGGCAGGAAATAATCAAACTCAGGGCTGAAATCAACCAAATAGAAACAGAAAGAACAATACAAAATATCAATAAAACCAGGAGTTGGTTCTTTGAGAAAATCAACAAGATAGATAAACCCTTAGCCAGATTAACCAGAGGGCACAGAGACAGTATCCAAATTAATAAAATCAGAACTGAAAAGGGAGACATAACAACAGAAACTGAAGAAATTCAAAAAATCATCAGGTCCTACTACAAAGGCCTATACTCAACAAAACTGGAAAACCTGGAAGAAATGGACAATTTCCTAGACAGATACCAGGTCCCAAAGTTAAACCAGGAGCAGATAAACCATCTAAATAGTCCCATAACCCCTAGGGAAATAGCAGCAGTCATTAAAAGTCTCCCCACTAAAAAAAGCCCAGGACCAGATGGTTTTAGTGCTGAATTTTATCAGACCTTCAAGGAAGACCTAATACCAATTCTCTTCAAACTATTCCACAAAATAGAAACAGAAGGAACACTACCCAATTCGTTCTATGAAGCTACAATTACACTCATACCCAAACCCCACATAGACCCGACAAAGAAAGAGAACTTCAGACCAATCTCCCTTATGAACATCGATGCAAAAATACTCAATAAAATTCTAGCAAACCGAATCCAAGAACACATCAAAACAATCATCCATCATGATCAAGTAGGTTTTATCCCAGGAATGCAGGGATGGTTCAATATTTGGAAATCCATCAATGTAATCCACTATATAAACAAACTCAAAGAAAAAAACCACATGATCATCTCACTAGATGCTGAGAAAGCATTTGATAAAATTCAACATCCCTTCATGATAAAAGTCTTGGAAAGATCAGGAATTCAAGGCCCATACCTAAACATAGTAAAAGCAATTTACAGCAAACCAGTAGCCAACATCAAGCTAAATGGAGAGAAACTTGAAGCAACCCCACTAAGATCAGGGACTAGACAAGGCTGCCCACTCTCCCCCTACCTATTCAATATAGTACTGGAAGTCCTAGCCAGAGCAATTAGACAACAAAAAGAAGTCAAAGGGATACAAATAGGAAAGGAAGAAGTCAAAATATCGCTATTTGCAGATGATATGATAGTATACTTAAGTGACCCCCAAACTTCCACCAGAGAACTCCTAAACCTGATAAACAACTTCAGCAAAGTGGCTGGTTATAAAATCAACTCAAACAAATCAGTAGCCTTCCTCTACATGAAAGATAAACAGACTGAAAAAGAAATTAGGGAAATGACACCCTTCACAATAGTTGCAAATAATATGAAATACCTTGGTGTGAATCTAACCAAGCAAGTGAAAGACCTGTATGACAAGAACTTCAAGTCCCTGAAGAAAGAAATCGAAGAAGATCTCAGAAGATGGAAAGATCTCCCATGCTCATGGATTGGCAGGATTAATATAATAAAAATGGCCATCTTGCCAAAAGCAATCTACAGATTCAATGCAATCCCCATTAAAATCCCAAATCAATTCTTCACAGAGTTAGAAAAGGAAATTCTCAAATTCATATGGAATAACAAAAAACCCAGGATAGCGAAAACTATTCTGAACAATAAAAGAACTTCTGGAGGAATCACCATTCCTGACCTCAAGCTGTACTACAGAGCAATAGTGATAAAAACTACCTGGTATTGGTACAGAGACAGGCAGGAAGATCAATGGAATAGAATTGAAGACCCAGAAATGAACACACACTCCTATGGTCACTTGATCTTTGTCAAAGGAGCTAAAACTGTCCAGTGGAAAAAGGACAGCATTTTCAACAAATGGTGCTGGTTCAACTGGAGGACAACATGTAGAAGAATGAAAATTGATCCATTCTTATCTCCATGTACAAAGCTCAAGTCTAAGTGGATAAAGGACCTCCACATAAAACCAGATACACTGAAACTAATAGAAGAGAAGGTGGGGAAGACCCTCGAATACTTGGGCACAGGGGAAAAGTTCCTGAACAGAACACCAATGGCATATGCTCTAAGATCAAGAATTGACAAATGGGACTTCATAAAATTGCAAAGTTTCTGTAAGGCAAAGGACACTGTCAATAGGACAAAACGACAACCAACAAATTGGGAAAAGATCTTTACCAATCCTACATCTGATAGAGGGCTAATATCCAATATATACAAAGAACTCAAGAAATTAGACTCCAGACAACCAAATAACCGTATTAAAAAATGGGGTATAGAGCTTAACAAAGAATTTTCAATGGAAGAAACTCGAATGGCCGAGAAGCACCTAAAGAAATGTTCAGTGTCCTTAGTCATCAGGGAAATGCAAATCAAAACAACTCTGAGGTTCCATCTCACACCAGTCAGAATGGCTAAGATTAAGAACTCAGGTGATAGTAGATGCTGGCGAGGATGTGGAGAAAGAGGAACACTCCTCCATTGTTGGTGGGACTGCAAGATGGTGCAACCACTTTGGAAATCAGTGTGGCGGTTCCTCAGAAAATTGGACATAGCATTACCCGAGGATCCAGCTATACCACTCCTAGGCATATACCCAGAAGATGCTCGAACATATAACAAGGACATATGCTCAACTATGTTCATAGCAGCCTTGTTTATAATAGCCAGGAGCTGGAAAGAACCCAGATGTCCTTCAACTGAGGAATGGATTCAAAAAATGTGGTATATTTACACAATGGAGTATTACTCAGCTATTAAAAACAATGAATTCGAGAGGTTCCTAGGTAAATGGATGGAACTAGAAATTATCATCCTGAGTGA